CGATGGGTGATGCCCGACTCCGCCAGCAACTTCTTGAACTCCCCCTGGAACTCCGTTCCCTGGTCTGTAAGCACCTCCCCACATGCCCCAAACCTACACACGACCTGTGCCTTGAAAGCTACTGCAATGTGCCTTGAGCTCTTGCTGGGGATGGCTCTCACCTCCAGCCACTTGCTCACATGCTCCACCATGAACACGATGTACTGGTTCCCACTCCTGCTTAGGGGCAGCTCCCCTGCCAGGTCTAAGGACCATCGGAACCCTAGCCCGCAGATTGGCAGTGAGGTCAGCTCTGCCTTGGCCTGCGTCAGGTTGGCTTTGCTCCTCTGACATGCCTCACACCCCTCTACCCACTCCTTCACCTGTCTGCGCATCCCTTCCCACCACCAGCCCGTCTTCAGCAGATGTACGGTCCTCTCATGTCCGAAGTGTCCCAGCTTAGTGTGTACCTCTTTGATTATTGCTTCACGGTCCTGTGGCGCTGGCACCAGCTTCCAACCGTCCTCTGTCTTGACCTGCAGCTGCTGCTGGTACCACCTGTAGTGGTGTCCTCGTGCTCTCACTCTGTCAGACACTGCCTCGTCTTCCTCTGTTTCTCCCCTCACCCACTTCATCGCCTTCTCATCCTGCCATATGTCCGCTGGCCCCTTACTCCCCTTGGCACCGACTTGTTCCACTTCTCTCGCCAGCATGATCAGGGTGTGCGCTGGCTCCTGCTCTGTCCCCTCCGTCCCCTGTGTTCCTTGTCCTGTTTCCAGCAGTGGTGGATTACGGGAGAGACCGTCTACGTGCTGCAGCGTCTTCCCCGGCCTGTGCCTGATCTGGAAATCATATTCCTGCAGCTTCACGGCCCACCTGGCGTTCCTTCCCGTCAGCCCTGGTGTGGTCATCAGCCACGTGAGGGGCTGATGATCAGTGACCAAGGTGAACTCGCGGCCCTGCAGGTACACCCTGAAGTGCCCGACTGCCCACACTGCCGCCAGTCCCTCCCCTATGTATGAGCTATACTGCGCCTCTGCGGGGTTGCAGCTCTTGCTGGCGTAGGCTACCACCTTCTCCACTCCCTCCACCCCCTGGCACAGTATTGCCCCCATCCCCTGGCTGCTCCAATCGGTGTAGAGGACGAAAGGTTGGTCTGCTGTTGGCAGCCGTAGCACTGTCGCCGTCTTTACGGCTGTCATGAGGTCTTGGAGTGCTACCCTCTGCTGCTCTCCCCACTCCCATGCCTTGTCCTCACGCAGTATCCCATTCAGCACCGCCGCCCTCTTACTGAAGTTAGGCACAAAGCGCCTGTAGTAGCTGAGGAAGCCCAAGACCGCGCGCAGCCCTGACTTGTCTCTAGGTTCCCTCAGCCTGTCCAGCACCTGTACCTTTGCTTGCTGGATCCCGATCTGTCCCCCTTTCACCTCATACCCCAGGTACTGCACCGTCCGTTCCCCCCACCTGCATTTGTTGGGATGGCATGTGAGCCCTGCCTCCTCTATTGCACTCAGGGTCCTCTCCACGTCCTCCAGATGCTGCTGCTCGGTCAAGCTGAAGATGACTACATCATCGATGTAGCATGCTGCATGTTCAATTCCCCGCAGCACCGCGTCCATGACTCGTTGAAACACCGCCGAGGCGTTCCGTAGGCCGAAGGGCATGTATAGCCACTCGTACAGCCCATCCGGTCCGTGGAAGGCTGTCTTCTTCACATCTTCTTCCCTGATTTTTATTTGATTGAATCCCTGGCGCAGGTCCAGCGTCGTGAAGTACACCCCGTCGGCCATCTTGTCAAAGAGCTCCTCCGCCATCGGCATGGGGTACCTGTCCGGCACGGTGATCTTATTAAGATCTCTGTAATCGCCGCACATCCTGCGGCTCAGCACCTCTCCTGTCAAATCCTTCCTGGCTGCCACTACCGTCGGGGTCGCGTACTCTGACTCTGACCTTCTGATCAATCCAGCTTCCAGTAACTCCTTTATTTTCTCCCTGCAGATCGCCTCATCCCCAGGCGGCATCTTTCTTCGGCGGTGGAACACCGGCTCATCGCTGCTCAGCTTCAATGCCATCTCCTTGATCTTGCACTTCCCCAACTCCTGCAGGGTGAAAGCGAAGCCCCTCCTGTGCTTAACCAGCAGTGCCAGCATGGCTGCCTTCCCTCCCTCACTCATGCTCTCACCTATCTTCCACTCATGCTCTGCTTTCGGCAGGCAGGCCCATGCCCCCTGCCTCACCGTTGCTACTGTGTTCTCTCCCTCCTTCAGTCCCCAGCGCAGCACTGTCTCTCTCCACATCCGCTGCACCAACCACCTCATCACGTACCCATCCATTGCGTTCCCCATTGCCCGCCTCCGTTCCTGTTCAGTGACGCCAGGGGCTGCTGTAGCGTTCTCCTTGTACCCCATAGCCAGCTCCCTCTCCAGGGCCGTGGGCTCCTCCCACCTTCCCTTCCCGTGGTCGAGCACTAGTCCTGGGCCTGGCTGCTTCCCATCCATCTGGTACCCTGCTGCCCCCTCATTTGACCCTAGCGTAGGCAGTGCTTGCCTCTCCTGCCCCACTTGATTGCACGGATAATGTCGGCTGTAGCTCTTCTTATTCACTGGTGCTGGCGTTCGCCCAGGCTCCAGTATATCGCTCAGCTTCCGCCCCCCTGCTCTCCGTACCCCCTCTATCTCCTTCTGCAGGTCTTCCGCTGGCACCACATTCTGCCAGTACATCCTGAGCCTGTGTGCGTAAGCTCCCATCCGTGTCGCGTCGCAGCTCACTCCCTTTCCCACCTGTCTGGTCACTCGCTCCCTTACTACTCGTATGGGCTCGCGCACATCTCCTTCCATGTCTAAATGCTCCAGCAGGTAGGCCACCCTGCTTTGTCGAGCCTGCACCCACTCCAGAATTTTGAACAAGTCCTCCATCAGTTGTGTCCGTAGGTCTTGCTCACCCTTGCCCTTCCCTGCCCATGATACCCCTTGGCATTCCCATCCCGCCACCAACAAGTCCACGTGCCCCCAGCTCGCCACCTCAGCCTCTGTGATGGCCCGTACATCGTGCACTCCTCTACTCATTGCTGCCTTGATCACTTCTTCCTTCAACAGCTCCGGGAACTCGCGGTGCAGCTGCCATGCGTGATGTTCCGCCATTTTCCTTGCTTCTGCCGCCTTCTCTACGTAAATCCACTGCTTCACTACGATCCCGTTCCGCACCACTGCTGCCAACCCCGCCCCTATACCCCCAAATAGTTCCACCAGGCGGATAGGTTGCTGCCAATCAGTCTGCTGGCTAGGCTCGTCCATGAAGCGCATCCTCAGCTCTCTGCCCTGTCCCTTGCTTGTCGTGCTCTCCTGTGCCCCCTGCTTCACTGTCATTTCCTTCAGATCCGCCCTGTAGGCCCGCTTCGGCTCTGTCTTGACGAACTGCACCGGCAGCTGTCCCAGTGGCTCACCCTTCCTCCACCACCTGGTCCTGAATTCCACCGTCTCCCTCCAGAAGCAGATGGTCATGCCCAGTGCAAAGATCATCTCCGTGCCCACCAAAACGTCGAAATCTTCAGATTCTGAGATCCCGCACCTGATCCTGACCGGCGTTTCGTGCTTCTCTCCTTTGAGCACCGTCAGCTCAATTGGAGTCCTTGTACATGGCATCCACTTTGACTCTCCTCCCTCTGATGTCATCACCAGCATCCCCTTCACTACATGTCTGTCCGGTGCCCACAGTCCCAGCTTCTCGGCCATCCCCTTCCCTAATATCACGCTCTGCGCGCCAGTGTCTATGATAGCCGTCTTGGCCTTCTCCCCTTCCACCGACAGCGCGCCTCCTTGTATCAGCAGCACGGAAGTCTGGCACGACAGCCGCTCCTGAGGGTGCCGTGCTGCTGTGCACCTCTCTTCTTTCGCTTCCGGTTTCTGTCCTTTCTCTCGTTCCTTCCTCACCTGCTCCTTCCGTGCATCCCTTCCCCCGCTGCGCAGCCCCATCTCCTCCCTTCCTCTCCATGCCATGTATGCTGGCTGCTCCTCGTGTTCCACCTCATCCTCCGCTCTTCCTGCCCAGCTCATGAATGCAGCTTCTTCATCCTGCTCTACATCCTCCTCCTTTTCTTTCTTAGCGTACATCCCCGCTTCTGCCTCGCGTCGTGGTCCCATTGCCTGCAGCTGAGCCTGTAGCTTGCCAATCTGCCTTTCCAGGTCCTCTGGTGTCCTCCTCGCTGCTCCCTCCCGCTGATAACACTCCCTCGTTGCATGCCCTCCCTTCCCACAGATGTCACACTTTGGCGCCGTTGGGCATTCCCGCCGCCGGTGTCCGGGCTTACCACAGGAGTCGCAGTTCTTGCAGTCTCTGCGCAAGTGCCCTGGCTGCCCGCATCGGTGGCACGTCCGTGTGTCAGTCCTGTTATCCCCTCTTCCCCCCTCCTCTTTCCTTTTCTTCTGGTATCATGGCTGCGGCCCACGTAGGTCCTCTGCCTCGCTCCACTGGGCGTTGCCGGTAGGCTTCGAGCTTCCTCTGGGCCATCTCCATCTTCTCTGCTAGCTCGAATACTTCATCAAGCGTCACGTCAGCCCCCCTCTCGTACACTTTCAGCCGCAGCCCGCTTCCCAAAGTACCCTCCAGGCCGTCCAGAAACTTACTCACGAGCAGGGCCGTGTCCGCGCAACTCACATCCTCTGCCAGGTTAACCAATCGGTTGTAGTAGGTGAGTAGTGACTCGCCCCGCCCCTTCCTGAAGTCCTGAAACTCTCTTTTCTTCTCCGCGGTGTGGCCTGGGAACTGCCGTTTCAGCCATCTTAGGAATGCCTCCGTGGGGTCTTCCCCATACCTCCCTGCCTTCTCCAACAGCTCATCCATCTTCATCCTGTACAATGTCTCTGCCTCCCCTTCCAGTGTGTTCGGCAGGCTCAGGAAAAAGTCTACTGAGTCCATGCCGCTCCTGTCACATCGGTACCGCACATTGCCCACTTGCATGAGGTAGTTCTTCAGCGTGGGCCCCGTGTGCTGATCTCCTGAGAAGCGTGTAGGCACCTCCACCCTCATGCCCACGGCCGTGCCTCCCCTTCCTTCTCCCCATGCCTCGCTCGGCCCTCCCACCGATCTCCCTGATGCTCCCCTTCCTTTTGCCCGCTGTAGGCCCTCCCTTGCTTCCTTGGCTCGCTCCAGGCTGTGCACCAGCCCACTGCTTTCTTCTCTATCGCCATGTTGCTCCCGCCCTCCCTGTCCGGCACATCTTCCGTCGTGCTGCCAATACCGGCCAGGCGATCGAGACCCACCACCGCGCCTCCCATCCCTGCTCTGCCGCCGATGCGGTGAGCGATATCCGCCTCCCCGGCTTTCCCCATGACGCAGGCGCCAGTTGGGCGAGTGCGCCTTGTCTCCCCACTTCTCTCCACGGTACCGTTGCATGTCCGGCGAGCGATTGCCTCCTCCGCGTCTCTCATCACGCGAGTAACGAGGCTCTGGCGAGCGTGAATCCCCTCTGCTTCTCCCGTCGCGATTTCTCCGCGGATCTAGTGAGTGCGTGCTGCCCCCGCGCCCACTGTCCCGGTGTTGCCTCGAATCTGGCGAGTGGTATCCACTTCCGTGTCTCCTCTCATGCAGCGGCCACGGATCTCGCGAGCGCATGCCGTCGCCGCGTCCCCCATCACGAGTGCGCCGCGGATCTGGCGAGCGCACGCCGTCGCCGCGTCCCCCATCACGAGTGCGCCGCGGATCTGGCGAGCGCACGCCGTCGCCGCTTCCCCCATCACGAGTGCGTCGCGGATCTGGCGAGCGCACACCATCGCCGCGTCCCCCATCACGAGTGCGCCGCGGATCTGTCGAGCGCATGCCGTCGCCGCGTCCCCCATCACGAGTGCGCCGCGGATCTGGCGAGCGCACGCCGTCGCCGCGTCCCCCATCACGAGTGCGCCGCGGATCTGGCGAGCGCATGCCGTCGCCGCGCCCCCCATCACAAGTGCGCCGGTGATCTGGCGAGCGCACGCCGTCGCCGCATCCCGCGTCGCATTGCTGACGCAAATCTGGAGAGCGCGAGCTGCTGCTACGCCTCTCGCTGCCACGCTCCTCTCCGTTGCGCGGCGGGTTTCGAGCACCACTCGTTCCGTCCGCCTCCACCGCGCTTGTCTCTGCCGCCACGCTCGCCTGCGCGAGATCTGCTTCTGTTGCTTCTGCAGGCACGTCGCGCTGCTTGCTCACGTCCTCCTTCCAGCCGTCGGCGCCGTTCTCCGCCGCATCGCCGTGCTCGGACTCCTGCGAGGTGTCCGCCGCGTCGCTTTCTTCTACTCCGCCAGCGTTGAGGTCTCCCTCTCGGCCCGAAAACAGTCCTTCCAAGCCTCGCCCGCGCCTCCGATCTTCGCGACGGCGATAACTTGCATCCGGCGAGCGATACGCTCCCGTCTCCTGGCGATATCCCAGATCGCCACCCCCATGGCGCGTTTCCGTCCGCCACGGATCACTCCTCACCATGGCCGATTCCGATCCGCCGGCTCTTCCTAGTGCAGATCCTTCCTCTCGGCGTTCATGCCCGAGAGGCACCTGATCCGCCCGAAAGGCAGGCCTTCGCGGCGATCGATCTGGCCTCCGCGGAGACCGCTCCAGCGACCGCCCACGCTCGCGGGAGTGTCCGCGCCGTGAGCGATCCTGCTCATGCCGACTATACGTCCGGCCATAACGCACGTCGTACCCGTCCATGCTTGCACGCACGCAGAATGCTTTCCGTTTGTTATGAAAGTGACGAGACTCTCACCTCAAAGGTCCTCCCTGAGTGGGTGTCACCAAACGCAAGGCTAGAGGTAACCAGAATCCACTATACGAAAGGATAACAAACGGAAAGCATTGTGTGTGTGTGTGAGAGTGAACTTACCTGTCCCTAGCTCGAGCCGTGCATTTCTCAATGTGCGGCTCGGGCCTGGGTGGGTTTGTTCCCATTGGTCGCGAGGATTTCACCCCTTGGTGATCTCCTACCGACTCCGCGTCAATTTCCCAGCCCCCCACCTACTTATCCTTGAGGCTGCATACACCAAATACAACACATCACTACACCCGTCCTACACCTTAATCATACTGGCACCTTATATACACAACCGTGCATATTCGGTGACAAAGAAGGGTTCAATAAAGAGCAAAGGTACAAAGATATGGGCAAGAACTAGGGTAATGAGGTGCACCACCAAACGGGAAACATAACTACACTAACACTACAGACAATTATATAAATATGAATAACATATTTCGACACACCCCCATAATTGTTTGCAGGTGTGAGTGTAGTAACGCCCCCTAAAGAGGGTACACCATGCAGAGTGCAGCTGAAGTAGCAGCAGTAGGCAGGAGCAGTGACAACCATTGCAGAAAACAGAGAACAGAAGGGAGAGAGGAGAGAGAGAGGGAGAGAGAGGAGAGGAGGTGGTAGACTCTGGTTGGTCACCCCCTACATCCCCTCACCCTCCCCCTCCCCCTCCCCCCCACACTGCTGCAGGAGCAGCAGAGGGGGGGCGAACGGAGGAGGATGGGAAGGGGAGACCACACATCACCCATCATCCCCACACCTGCCACCCCCAGTCCCTCTCCGGGCTCCCCCACACCCTCACACCCTCCCCCCCAGCGGCAGCTGCAGCAGAGGGAGCAAAAGGAGGAGGAGAGGGGAGGGGGGGGGGGGGGGGGGGGGGCGACGCACGGCCTCCCCGGGCGCCAAAGCAGGCGGCAGAGGGGGCGACGCCTGCCCCCCCCTTCCAGGTCGCCGCGGCCCCCCTCAGGTCGCCTCGACAGGTGACGGGAAAAGGGGGGGGGGGGCGGTGCACGTGCCCCCGGTGTGCCGCAGCTGGCGACGGGGCATGGCCGGGGCGGGGTCGGGGCCGCAAGTGGGCGGGGCCATAGGTAGGCGACGGGGCCGCAGGTGAGGGCGGCGGGGCCGCAACCGAGGGCGGCGACGGGCCGCAAGTGAGGGTGGCGACGGGGCCGAAGCTGAGGGCGGCGTTGGGGCCGCAGGTGAGGGCGGCGACGAGCCGCAGGTGAGGGCGGCGACGGGCCGCAGGTGAGGGCGGCGACGGGGCCGCAGATGAGGGCGGCGACGGGCCGCAAGTGAGGGCGGCGACGGGGCCGCAGCTGAGGGCGGCGGGGCCGCAGCGAAGGGCGACGGGGCCGCAGTGAAGGGCAGCGGGAGGGCCGCGAAGGGGCCGCGAGGGGCCAGAAAGGGCGGCAACGGGGCCGCTAAGAAAAAAAGGATAAGGGGCACGCCACGGGGCGTGCCGAACACAGAGTAGCAGCGGAAGCTTTAGGGTGGGCCCACAGGTCAGGATCTTGGTCGCTCTGATACCATGTGAAAGATCTAGCAAGGCTAAGGAGCCATAGCTAGTAGGTCGAGTGAATTGAGTATCGAGCAAGTTGAAAAGTCGAGAGTGAAGAAGGGTTCAATAAAGAGCAAAGGTACAAAGATATAGGCAAGAACTAGGGTAATGAGGTGCACCACCAAACGGGAAACATAACTACACTAACACTACAGACAATTATATAAATATGAATAACATATTTTGACAGGTTGCTACTTTTATCCCTATGTATGTTCATTCGCTGTCTCACTAACATTATGATGTACCATTTCATACTGTTTTAAAGTTATGTACGGTATTTCACATTTCCCATAAAGGGAATATGGGAAAGTAGTTTTACCATGGATTCGGCTAAACATTGTTGTGGTGCTAAACATTGTGGTGTTTCTTCTGAATTGCATCTGGAAGCAGTTTTTCTATTTGCAAAACTGTAGCATATAACAAGAGCAGCTTTTACACGGTCAATACCGATCACCTGCATGCCTGCCAACACTGCAGCTCCTCAATTGAGTTGACCGAGGATTCCTCCGCATCCTCACCTCACTGAGCTTTTTCCGTTTCTGCTTCCTACTGATTACCTCTACCATGGATTGAATCCTTACCTCACCAATCACGACCTTGCTCCTCTGTTCCCGTCACGCGAGTCACTTCGATCCAGCCTGGAACGACCCCGGTTCCGAAGCGCGCATTCCCAGCTGTGACGCGAGGAGCCTAGAAAGGTAATGGTTCAATGTAAGCATCAACTACGTTTTCTCGACGTTGCCATTCGTCCTCAACGATCGTACCCTTTTCAGGTCATTCCGTCCTCAGTCAAGGCTACCTCCCTGCTGTAGTATTTTAGCAGCCAGTAGCTTGTCCCGATCACTCACGCCTCTTGAGTTCTTCGCCATCCTCGAGTCACCGTGGGCTCCTGTGGCTTGCTATTCCCGCTGCTCTGCGTCCTTGCTTTTCTTCCGTTTAGCTATGGCTCCGTGCAGGAAGGTTCAGTATTCACGTTCAAGCTTCGCCATCAGCACACAGTTTCAGCAGATAACCGGCCTATGACCTTCGGCTCTTACAAACAGTGGCTGGAAAAGCAGACGCAATCACGAGCAGCGGTTATTTTGAGACGCATTCGCAAGGTGCTGATGCCTACCTGGCACGCTCCATCCTTCAACAGTATCTGTTCCGTTATTCAATGCCTTCACTTGTTATTTGTCTGATTCTGCACAGGGAGCTAAGACTTCCGGATCTAGAAGGCTTCAGGGAGGAGGTCAGGAATCAACCCTTCCGATCAATGGAGGCGTTGAGCAACTGGGGTAGGTCACCAGTCGTCCGTTTATTCTTCGAATATGATCTACATATGTGTCCTGACGCAGCCCGTTTCAACAGGTCCTATTACGTTACACTGCAGCTGGGTTCTCAGAAAGAATCATTGAACACCATCATTGACACTGGAAGCGACCTGTTGTGGGTCAGGTGTACTGGCTGTGCAAACTGCCCTCCAGATACAAGAGTAAGGGATTTGTTCGAAAGCATAAGAATTTGCATGATGGCAAAGACCTGACTTCCACGTTGTTCTACATTTCAGGCTCGGTCGTTCAATGCTCAACAGTCAACGACTCGTCAGAGGATTGATTGTGCTGAGTGCAAGGCGATCAATGAGACCACTTGCGCTGGTCCATATCGGGCGGGGTGTGGAATCGGCTGCACGAGGCTGGGAGTTCGAGGTCGTTGCATTGCTGGATGCGGGTATGTGGAACTTATTTATTCATCTCTCGCTTGATTCAGGTGTGTGGTTAGAGTTTTCACAACATCGTGTTTGAACAGACCCAGTGGCACAAGTCGCTGCAATTATGCTGTCATCTATGGTGATGGAAGCTACACGGGTGGAGTTGTGATGCGTGATGTCTTGACTCTCCCTGGCCGCCCAGCAGAAATATCAGCACCGGTTGCCTTTGGGTAATCAGAGTTATGTTTTGGATAGTTTACATCATATGCGGACCAGATAACTAACCCCCCGGTTGTTGCTTTCAGTTGTGACTTCCATGAGTCCCAAGGGCTTCTCAAAGATCCCTTGATTGGCCTGGTTGGCCTTGGCCAAAGCCCTCTATCCATTCCTTCACAGCTAGCGCAAGAGGGAGTTCTTCAGGGAAATATAATCTCACATTGTTTGGGTGGAGAGGATGGTGGCGGATTTATAACCTTTGGCGCGCCTCCTATGGCTGACTCGAGCATGCAGTTTGTCCCTATGGGGAATGACACCACGTAAGTAACTATGTCACAAATGTCCAGGTCCAGGCTGGACCCGTTTTGTTCTCTCTGACATGTGTGTGTGTGTTGATGTGCAGGGTGTACAATGTGACGATATTTGGTATTCAGGTGAATGGTATGGATCTGCAAATTCCTGCTGGCACATTTTCTGGAACTGGTGGTATCATTGACAGTGGCAGCACTGCGCTCACGCTCCCAGAAGCAGCGTACACTCCCCTCAGAGAAGCAGTAGGTTCTCTTTAAGGTTTTCATGCCCTTCGCCTTCAATTTTTCATGTCTGTTGGGTGTTCTTGATTATCATTGGGTCATGAACTTTATTCGATGCAGGTTATCCAAGCTGTTGATGGGAAAGCTCAAAGACTTTCTCAGGAAGAAATCAATCAGCTGGCTGGTGGGAATGTTGCATCTGTATTGAATCTGTGCTACAATGTCTCTTCAAGGTATTTGTCTTGTCTTCAGTTTTTTATGCATGTCATTCTGTTTATGTACTAAGCATACCACTGTGTTCTATTCCAGTGATACAGCAACATTGCAGTCAGCATTCCCGACAGTGGCAATTGTGATGAATGGTGCCAACCTGGAGTTACCACCCCAGAACTACCTATGGCTGTTTGTGAGTACCCACGCCCTGCCTGCTACCATATGGTGTGTGTAGTATTTGCTGAGATAACGCTGTTTGTTTGCTTTGTTTTTTTTTGTTTTGTTTTTGTTTTTTGCTGGCCTGCAGGACAATTTGGTGTGCTTCTGTGTGTACGACTCGAACAGTGTTGTGGGCCAACCTATTACCATAATTGGAGGTATGATACTGAGGAATCTTCATCTCTCGCACCCATGCCTTAGCGTTTTGGCTCTCGTCTGACATGCTTTCCAAATTTGTGCATGCAGATGTAGCTATGCGTAACAAGCTGGTTGTGTATGATAGAGGGGCAAGAAAGATGGGGTTTCAGACTCTGGATTGTAAAACTGCCTAACTTTAATTCAGTTTAATGTGATTTGCTTTTTTGCCAAGAGGAATGACATAATTCAGTTATAGATAATCTGGAGATGTGTTTGTGAAGAGTCAGATTTCACTTGGCTGTCACATTCGCGGTCTGGCATCAAATCTCGCTTGACCTGACCATACCACTTGGGGTGCCGTACCGTGTTGGAGCATCACAGAAGTCAACGCAATGCCCAGTAGTTGTACTATTTTGGTGTCGAATGTTCCTATATTAGTAGTATAGAGACTGGCGAAGTGAGGATCTCAGTGTAAGTTCGAGTCCGAAGTTGGTAGCAGCCTTCGCGACGTTTAGTATTCACCTCTGATCCACCTGATGCGTTTCGCATGATGGAAACAGTAGCGAATCTCGAAGCAGAGCTGTACCGCGTACGGAGAGACCGACGCTTGCTGCTCTCAAACCTATTAACGTCGCTAGCGGCGACTGGCTGGGCAGATTCGGACCTGGACAGAATCAATGTGGATTACATCCTATGGTGCGCTACGTCAGGTACACAACACAAGTTTCATTGTAGGATTCGCCTTCGCCTTCTTCTAGGCTACACCGGTTGAATGAGTTGTGAGTGCGTTGAATGGCGCTTCGCCTACTTTCCGACTCATATTCGTTACGAAGGTTTGCTCTGTTATCGTCGGGTCTGTACCCGTGAAGACCTTATTCGTTTGTTCGACCTTTTCGTATCGGCTCTTGATGCATACTGCTTCCGTTCGACCTTTCAGGGACGCGCGTGGATATAAAAGCAGCCATTTCAGCCCAACCAACGGTCACTCCGAGGGGTGAGGTGAGAGCTGGACTCGTCTTCCTCGTGTTTCTTTCATTCAATGTCTCAAATGGCTGTATATCATGATAACTGCGGTAGTATGTTCTTGACTCCTGTACACGATTGGATGCTCGGCTTCAGATCTGATCCAGTGGGCCACAGGGAAACGAAGCTCAAAACCAACCTAATTCCTGTTGCCTCTCAACCTCTCCGCATCCCACTCAACTCCGCCTCCCAGGCAGACTTCGTCACAGCCTCCACAGTCATTCTCTCGTCCACAGAGCCCTCCGGCCCTCCGCCTGCTCGCCTCGCTCCCGCCTTTTCCAGTCCCCTCTCGCACAGTTCCAGAGTTTTCTGCTCCTCCTCGCCTGCCTCCTGAACCCCACCATCCCCGGCCAGCCTCAGACTTCGCCTCTGCTGCTGCATACGCTCCTCCTGCTCCCGCGGCGCCGTCGTTCCGTGCTGCTGTCCCTTCAGCTGCTCCCGATCGTGTCCCGAACCAATCTTCTAAAACTCACGCATCCGATTCAGCAGCAGCAGCAGCAGAAGCAGCAGCAGCAGGCGGAGCAGCAGTCGGAGGAGCAGCACGGGGAGGTTGGGGAGCAGGACGTGCAAAACCACCAGCCAGAGCCGAGCCAGAGACCCTCCTAGCCCCCCCTCGGCCTCTCTTCCCGCTCTCTCCCCCAGCCCAGCAGCATACCCCAGATTCGCCTCCCCCAGTCAAGCCTAAGGCGCAACAACTAGCCAAGAAGCTGTTTGCCACTCCATTCGCGTCGTCACCTGAAGGCTATTCCACTGAGAGTGATGTTCGCTGCTCCACAGGGACAGATGTGACAGGGGCGCTGAACTGGGGGGGATGGGGACAAGTGGGCGCGAGTGGCTTGGAGTGTGAGGGGGAAAGGTTCGGAGAGGGAGCAGCAGAAGCAGCAGCAGCAGCAGCGGCAGAAGCAGAAGCAGCAGCAGCGGCAGCAGCAGCAGCGGCAGGGGCGGCAGGAGTAAGAGGAAGAGGAGGAGGAGGGGGAGAAGACGCAGGAGGAAGAGGACTGAGGGAAAGCGTAGGAGGGAGCGATGGAGCACGGGAGAGAGTGGCAGTGGCAGGGTCGGTGGAATCAGCTTCGGTGTTTATGGCTTACTCTTCCTCTGCCTCTTCTGTTCACTCCATGTACGCCCTCTCCCAGGGCTCACCGGGCACACCAGAAGCAGCTGGAGCAGCTGGAACTGCAGCAGAAGCAGCAGCACCAGCAGCAAGTAGCGGCAGCAGGGGCCATTGATCATGAAAACCAAAAGCCCTCTTCTGTTCACTCCATGTACGCCCTGTCCCAGGGATCAACGCGCAGACCAGAAGCAGCTGGAGCCGCAGCAGCAGCAGCAGCAGTTGCTGCGGGTGTTGCTGCTAGGGAAGCTTCAGCAGCAGCAGGAGGTGCACCAGATGCAGCAGCAGCTTGGGGAGGCCAGCCTTTCCCAGGTAAGCCCTCCCCAGCATCACCGTCCAGTTTAAATCACCCAAACGCCTCAGCATCGGGGTTTCCACACGATGTTATGGGTACCCCAAGTCCAAACCCCATCCGGCCACTGAATTCGAGCCCTGTCAAGACACCAACACAAGAAAAGCCTTCATCGCTGCAGCTGCAAGGTCCTGACAGCCCTGCTCGTACTCCGTATCAGATTCGTTCCCCTCAGCCACTCTCCCCTCGTTCACCTGCAAGCGCCAGCAGGAGCCCTGCTCCCTCCCAACCATCACCTCAGTATGCCCAAACCCCACCGCGTGAACCACTCTATCCTCCTCCTTCCCCTGTCGGAGGCAGCAGGAGTCCTATTTCCGCCGAGCCTTCACCACGGCCTGAAACTCGATACGAACCTGCTCGCCACCGCCTGAACCACTCTACCCTCCTCCTCCCCTACAGGAGGCAACAGGAGCCCTGCTTCTTCCCACCGATCTTCTGCTCCCCGATCGGCAGCAGCTGCAGCTGCTCTGAGTGCCCTCGGTGCGGCTACTCTGGCAGCAGGAGGCCCTCCTCTTGCTGCTGGCACTCCTCCTGTAGATGCACAGACCCACGCTCCCTATTCCCATGGCCCATCACCACATAGATATGGTTCGGAGAGTGTGACAAGTAGTGGAACAGGTGGGGGGCGTGAGTCGGCTGTTAATAGCAGGGGTGGTGGCAGTGCTGGTGGGGTTTCTGTGGCCAGCAGCGGGCATGGGTTTGGTAATGCAGCAGGTGCTGATGTGCAGATGAGTGGCGGTGGGAGTGCTGCTGCTGCTTCTGCTGCGGCTTCTGCAGCTGTGGTTACTCCACCGGTCCCAACCCGGCTGGATTTCCAGTCTCCTGTTGGGGAACCACGAAGCAAGAAGAGCGAGAGTGGGAGAGGCAGAGCCGAGGAGTCTGGAGGGAAGGGGAGCGTCCTGGGATCTGCCTGGAGGTCTGGTGGGTCGAATAAGAAGCTGCCACCTGGCACTGATGGGGAGCGGTGGAATGATGACGAGGACGATGATGACGTGGCATCGTCTGATTCGTCCTCGTGTTCGGATTCGTCTGAGATGTCTTCCACGCTTGTGGCGGGCGGTGGCGAGGACTCGCCAGCTGGCACAAGAGATGGAGACTCTGCCAGCTCAGCAAGGGGGCAGCTGAAGTGGCCTTTGCGCCAGCTGGCATCGGGGCTGACAGCAGAGGAGCTTCAAGCAAGTGCCTATGAGGTGCTGCTGCTTGCAGCAGCGGAATCGGGTGAGTTTGCGTCACTTTTTCAAGAGTGAGAGCTTTCGAAAGAGACACAAGCAAGCGCTCATGAGGTGCTGGTGCTCGTGAGACGTCTCAAAAACACTCCTTTTTGCAAGAAGCTGGCGACTCAACTCGAAGCAGCCAAATCTGTGCTCTCATCAGGTCTACTTCCTCCGCGTCCCTCTCCCCTCCCCGCCCACTCCAGGCTTGTGTCTGCACCAGCGCCTGGTGCCACCAGTGCAGCCAGCAGCGGCAGCAGCAAGAGCAAGCCCTGGCGGCCTGAATCCCCCGTAGAGCCCAAGTCCAAGTCCCCAGGCGGCTTCATGTCCCGCTTTGCCAAGAAGGTCGGGGTCAACGTGGGGCAGTTTAAGGGAGCCAAACCTGCTGCTGGCATTGCTGCTGCTGGTGGTACTGGTGGCGGTGGCGGTGGTGGTGGTGGGGGTGGTGGAGAGAGGGGGATTGGGGATGGGAGTGGAGGAGGAGGGAGGAGGAGGAGCCCTGTCCCCGGAGCTGGCTCGCATGCGGCAGCAACTAGGGGTACGTGATCGGCGCTTCTCCTGCCTTGTCTTACCGTACGCTTGCCTTTTCCTACCATTCTTTCCCTGCATGCATCTGCTTCTTTCCAGTCTCTGTTCTTCCCATGTTTTCTCCTCCCCAGGAGATGTTTTTTTTTCAACTTTCAATCTGCAAGTGCTTATTCCGTCCCGGTATCTCCCCATCACGCTCCCACCTATGGCAGGTACCCGAGTCTCTCCACGCTCTCCTCCTCTCAGCCCTCTTCTTCCCACCCCCCTCACATACCGTCGAAATGCCATCCCCCATCAGCCCCCTCATCGGTGCAGCAGCAGCAGCAGCAGCAGCAGCAGATCATCCTGCCTCTCTTCATTCTCTCTCCATTCCTTTCCCCTGCCCTTCCCTGCTTCCCTCTCCCCCCTTTCCACAGGTACCCGAGTCTCTCCAAGCTCTCGTCCTCTCAGCCCCTCTCCTCCCACCCCCATCACACACCGTCGAAATGCCATCTCCCATCAGCCCGCCTCACCGGTGTAGCAGCAGCAGCAGCAGCTGCCGCCATTCCTCCCCTCCCGCTCCCCGCTCTGCCTGCTCCTCCACTTCTCCCCCATCCCCGCCTCCCTTTCCTCCTCCTTCTCCCCTGGAGTTGATGCTCTGAAGGCCGCTGCTTCTTCTCTCGCTGCGTCATTCTCCAATCTGTCGCCAAGACCTCCGTAGAGCTTTCTACCACAGACAGGTGTGTAAGTCTGTATTTTTCTCTTGCTCTTCTTGTTTTTGTTTGTTATTGTCCCGTATTTGCTTGTGTGTGTGTGTGTGTGTGCTTGTGTGCGTGCGTGCCCGCATGTGTGTGTGTGGTGTAAACACTGGACTTTCCTTTGTGCCACAATTTCCAGTCGACTTGCCTCATTCCATTTTGGCCCCACAGGCTCTACCGCTGCATGATCCCCTACCATTTCGCTTTTCCGCCCCCATTCCAGGGTGAAGCTGCTGCAAGAACTGCTGTTGGACGCCACAGGCAATGCAAAGCCACAGGGCACAGGAAAGGGAGGAGCGGGAGGAGCAGGAGGAGCAGGAGGGGAGGCACAGGGTGGGGATGATCGTGCTGAGGTGGCAGCCGCCCTGGATGCCATGCTGGCACTTGTAAAGGTGAGCTGGACGCTGACTCACTCGCGGCGCACCCCCTGCACGCCCATATCATCAGTCAGTCCGTCTGATAGATGCTCCAGCTCACAGTGAAAGCTGCCCAACCTCTATTTTAGGCGCCTCAAAGACTCATATCACCAGTCCGCTTATACGTGCTCAGAGTGAGAGCTGCCCAAACTCATTACAAAGCTTGCATTGCCCCCTTTTTCCTATTTTCCCTCGTTTCCACATTTCCCTCTCACCCCACCCCCCACTAGTTACCACTCATTTTCACTCACCCTATCTCTCTCCCCTGACTTCTTTCTCCTCCCTCTTCCCCTCACCATTTCTCTGCTGCGAGCTTCCGCTGGCTTTTTTTTATCCTCTGCTCCTCCCCTTTCACCTTAATCCACTTTCGCCATTCCTTTCCTTTCCAGGGTCACGAGTTCATCACCCGCCTCCCTCCTTTGAGGCCAAGTGGAGCCGGAAGCTGAGCGAGTTGCGCTGGCTGATCCTATCCTCTGCTCCTTCTCTCTCAACCGATTTCACTCGCTCCTCTCCCTCTCACCCTATCCCTCTCCCCCCATGCAGGGTCACGTGTTCATCACCTCCCGCCCTCCTTCGAAGCCAAGTGGAGCCGGAAGCTGAGCGAGCTGCTTTTGATTCAAGCCCACTCCCTCTTACCCTCCCCTCCCTCCCACACCCATCCAGGGTCACGAGTTCATCACCTCTCCTCCGTCCTTCGAAGCCAAGTGGAGCCGGAAGCTGAGCGAGCTGCTTTTGATTCAAGCCCACTCCCTCTTCCCCTCCCCCCTCCCTCCCACACCCATCCAGGGTCACGAGTTCATCACCTCCCGCCGTCCTTCGAAGCCAAGTGGAGCCGGAAGCTGAGCGAGCTGCGCTGGCTGCTGGTGGGGGGATTCGCCTGGGGCGGCAGGAGAGGAAACGCAGCAGCACTGGCCGCAGCAGCAAGCCACAATGCTGGCGGTGGTGTGAGGCAAGGGAAGCAGCTACCGGTGCTGCCCTGGTGCCTGGTGTCCCACCCGAGCGACCTTCAACGCATCTCTGTACCATCAGCTGCTGTCCGCCTGCTGTGACCCCTCCGATTCAGCCTCTTCCATCGACCTCCTCTTTGTAAGTCCCTTTGGGAAATTGTTGTTGTGTTGCTGTCGGCCTGCTATCGGCCTGCTGTCGTGCCTTCTTTTTGCCCTGCTCTATGCCTGTGCTCGCTGCCCGCTGCTGTCCTGGTGCCCCATTGAAGCCAGCCTGAACGCGTCTCTGTTCTGTACCATCAGCTGCTGTCCGCCTGCTGTGACCCCTCAGATTCGGCCTCTTTCATTGACCTGCTCTCTGTAAGCTCAGCTCAGCTAAGCACAGAATACAAAGACGACACGTCTGAGCCGTGTCTTGCTCAGATCCGAGGGCACCTGCATTGTGAGTCTATTTTTGAGTCGACTCAGGAATGTGCTCAGAGGGCACCTGTGTCGTGCTCTTGCTCTCCCCCCTCATTGCTCTTCCCCCACCTTGTTCTGACATAACACCGTGTTTGTTCTTCCCTTCTCTCTAATGGCCCTTTCATTGATAGTCAAGGTGTTACAGACATGCAAGGTATGGGTCATCAAGTACGTGGGCTAATAGAGAATACAATTCCTATTCACTCCGCAGCCCAACACCCTCCTAAGTAAGATCCAGTGCAGGATCAAGACCGAGAGGCAGTCCCCCAAGGGGACGGTGCCTCCCCCACTGCCTCTAGTAGCGGGTTTTCAACCGCTGCTGCTATGCTGCACTTTTCCAGGTACCCAATCGACTGCCCCCGTTGAAGAGCCACCGACCACCGCTGCCGGTATTGGTGTAAGAGCTTGGCAGCTTGGTAGGAGGTTGGCTCGGCGTTGAAGAACCGCCGTGCAGCCGTTTCTGCGAGGAGTTTCAGGAAGTCCACTGACTCGGGGCATGGGCACCCGTATGTCTTGACCGCTAGTGGGAAAAACTTCACCCAGTCTGGGCGGTCCTTGTAAAGGCCGTGTTTCTTGTCTGCCGCCTTCTCTCTCTCTCTCTGTCTTACAATCTGCAGGAGATGGAGGAGAGAGTTGAGGCCCTCAGGCCCACGTGGCACTCTCTGGGAGTGACACCTGTCACGCACAGCGCCCTGCAAGCTTGGACCCTCTGCCAAAAGGTATGCTTGCGGTGGCTGTCTGACCAATGTTCATGAGTCCCACACTATTTTCCCACCGTCATCTCCCTGTGCAGTTCGATGAGGTCCTATCCTCATCCCCCGCTCGTCCTCTCTCTCATTCTTCCTTGCTCTCGCATCATGTCCCCTGTTCTCCCCCTCTCCTCCTCCATCGTCTCCCTCCTCTTCCAGGCTTCAGTTCCAACTCTTCCTCACCCGCTCTCATCACCGTCGCCAGCTGGCGGTCTGCCAGATCAGCAGCAGCAGCAGCAGCTTCTGCCAATCAGATCTGTGCTTCCGCTCATCTGCCAATCACTGCGCCGCCTCCCAACCACTGCCTGTGCACGACCATCGTCATCATCATCATCATCCGCAGCAGCAGAAGCAACAGGAACAGAAGCAGCAGCAGCAAAAGCAGTAGCAGCAGCAGATGGCAGAGAGGAACCTTCAGCGAAGGTTCTCCTTCACCCGTTCGTGCAGTCGGTGTCTCGCTTCCTGTCATCACTTCTAAGTGACTACCACCACACGCTGCTGGAGGTGAGTGATTAGTTTGTTTTTGAGTCACTCAAAAGTCTCCTTCACCCGTTCGTGCAGTCGGCGTCTCGCTTCCTGTCGTCGCTCCTTAGTGACTACCACCACCCCCTGCTGGAGGTGAGTGTTAATCACTGCCCCAGGTTTGAATCGACTTTTGAGTCGACTCAAAGGTTCTCCTTCACCCGTTCGTGCAGTCGGTGTCTCGCTTCCTGTCGTCGCTCCTTAGTGACTACCACCACACCCTGCTGGAGGTGAGTGTTAATCACTGCCCCATGTTTGAATCGACTTTTGAGTCGACTCAAAGGTTCTCCTTCACCCGTTCGTGCAGTCGGTGTCTCGCTTCCTGTCGTCGCTCCTTAGTGACTACCACCACACCCTGCTGGAGGTGAGTGTTAATCACTGCCCCAGGTTTGAATCGACTTTTGAGTCGACTCAAAGGTTCTCCTTCACCCGTTCGTGCAGTCGGTGTCTCGCTTCCTCTCGTCGCTTCTAAGTGACTACCACCACACACTGCTGGAGGTGAGGGATTAATTTGCTCCTTTGGCATCACAAAAGTAGAATCGTTGCTTTTAAGTGACTACCACCACACACTGCTGGAGGTGAGTGGTTCTCACCCCCAGGCTTGAATCCCTTAACCCGTGCAGCCATGCCCATGAGCCCATGTCCATATCTGGCTCTGTAGTCTGCTGCTCCTCTCACGTACCATACCCCACACGAATGCCTCACATCTCCCCTCCTCTCTCCGTTCTCCCTCCAACCCGCTCTTATTTCCAGGCGTCTAGCGCGACTAGCAGTACAGGCGCGAGTGCAGACGGATTGGCAGCACTAGAGTTTGCTCTGGACTCGTTTGTGCTGCTGTGACCTGCTTCATCAGTCCGCGCTTTTTCCCTCGTCTCGTCCCTGCCCCTGACCCGTGCCATTTTATCCTCTAATAATTTCCAGGCTTCCAGCAGCAGTGGCGCGAGTGCAGACGGACTGGCAGCACTGGAATCGGCTCTTGACTCGTACCTGTGCTGCTGCGACCTGCTGGAAGCAGGCAGGAAGAGGAGCAGCCGAAGACACACGGTGAGTGGGGTTCATGGGGAGTGGATGGGAGAAGGGAGGGTGGTGAAGATAGGGGAAGAGAAATGGGCAGTCATTTTTTCAGACCGCCTTGCTTCTGTGAGCAAGTTCAGGGAGGGTGGACCCTCAGTGTACCCTTTATCAACCTCTTAACTGCCACCTGGATTTGCTCCTTCCCTTCTGAAGCCCAGAACCCGAAGCACCCTGTTTCACTCTCTTCTCTTCCGTCCTCTCCCCAGGCCCCAGGGGGACCACCGAGCATGGAGCGAGTGGAGGACGTACTCGAGTTTGTTCACACGTCAGTGCTCTCCTCCTTTGACCGCGCGTGCCTAGATGCTATGGCAGCAGCAGCAGCAGCGAAAGCCCAGAAAGACGCACAGGATCAGCACAATGACGGAAGCTCCTCCTTCTCTTTCCCAGACTCTTCCACAGACGGGCCTGCTTCGGATTTCAGAGCAGCAGGGGCGGGCGGAGGAGAGGTGGGATTGGCTCAAATGGCTGAGCTGGCGAGTGTGATTATAGAGAGGGAGGCTGGGGGAATGGTTGGGGGGGTTGAAGGGCGAACAGGGAAGGGAGGTGGGAGGGGGAGGGAGGGGGAGCGGAGGGAGGGGCGGCGAAGGGTGGATGTGTTGCGGTGTTCAGGCGGTTGGGGGTGTATGGGACAGCAGCAGTGGCGGCAGCAGCGTTGCATCAACAGCTTGATTCACAGCTGGTGGGTTGTGTGAGCTGCTTGGATGGCACAGCAGCAAGTCTCAGAAACGTTTTCAGGTGGCTGGGCCTGGGGCTATGATGCGAAAGACGCGTCCTGCGTCCTGGACGCATGCGTCCAGACGCATGCGTCCAGACGCATGCGTCCGGACGCAGGACGCTTCACCAGGACCAGAAAGACGCACCAAAAGACGCAGTCCCGGGCAGGCAAAAAAAACCCCGGGCAGGCAAAAAAACCCCCGGGCAGGCAAAAAAACTTGTTATAGGGCATGGGATGAGGGGGGGGGGGGGAACGTTCCACACTTTCAAGGCAAACTTGGCCCCAACATCAAATTTTCCCCCAAATCTCAAGATTAAGGTGAGTCACGTATTGTCACACACATGTCCCAAGGTCACATGCACAGTTTATCGTATCACTGAAGAACACGCATACTATTAAACTACCACCACAGCACTGCATGCAGGCAACCAGTCATCTCATCCCATTAAATATGGTGTTTGGGCTTTTGCGGTTTCTTCTCCACCCCATCACTAGTGAAACGCTGCGGGGGAGACTCGTCCTCGGCATGAACATCCCTAGATGCGTTTGATGACGTAGGGTTGCTTGAGGAAGCCATAATGGAGCTAAGCTATGCTTGTAGGCTAAAACCTCTAGGGTTTTCGAAAGAGAATTGGTTGGGTGGGTGAAATGAGAAATGACTTGGTTGGATTGCTAAATGGGCTTGGTGGTAGGCACCTTGGTTGGGTTTTCTAGATGTGAAGTGGTTGAGAGGTATTTGGAATTCAATTGTTGCATGGGGGGTTATGAAATGTGGGGGGGGGGCTGTTTTTTAATGTCGAATTGGGCAATGGGGGGTCAAAATTTCGCAATTTCGACAGTCGCGTCAAAATCGCGAGATTGAAATTCGTAATCTGGAAAAAAAAAAAAAAAATCGGGGCAGCCCGAAAATTTTCGATCTGCGTCCTGCGTCTGGACGCGCGTCTTGCGTCCTAGCGTCCAGACGCTGCGTCCAGACGCAGTACGCAGCGTCCTCTGAGCGTCTTTCGCATCATAGGCCTGGGGTGAGGGTATGCTTGTTTTCTTTGGACCAGCAGCAGTGGCAGCAGCAGCGCTACACCAGCAGCTGGATTCGCAACTGGTGGGTTGTGTGAGCTTGGTTAAAGCAATAGGCTTAGATCATTCTCAGAAACGATTTCTGCAAGTCGTTGGTGCTTCTTGTATCCATATCTTTTTCCTGTGTGCACCTCCGACCCACCAGGGCCGGTTCCTCGCAGTGGTATCAGAGCTGCACTGCACCCCGACTGCTGGAAGGAAGGCGTTTTCCCTCTAAACCCTCTCCATGCGTTCTCACCACATTCCACCATTCCCAACGTCTCCCCCCTGTGTACTTCTGCTTATCCATCACTACCCATCAGGACCCGTTCCTCTCAGTGGTATCAGAGCTGCACCCTGACTGCTGCAAGGTGTTTATCCTCCAACCCCTGTTCGTCCATTCTCACCACACTCCACCACTCCCAATGCCACCACCAGGACCCGTTCCTCTCAGTGGTATCAGAGCTGCACCCCGACTGCTGCAAGGTGTTTTACGCTGTGGATGCATTCGACCGGCGCGTGCAGCAGGTGGTGCAGGGGGAGGTGTGGGCGGAGGAGGAGGAGGCGAAGAAGAGAGCAGGAGAGGGGCATGGGGGATACGGGCATGCTTCTCAAATTGCCAGCGAGCTGAACGCTTACCAGGTAAGTCTATCTGGATGCATTCGACAGGCGTGTGCAGCAGGTGGTGCAGGGGGAGTTGCGGGCGGAGGAGGAGGAGGCAAAGAAGAGGCAAGGAGATGGGCATGGGGGATACGGCGATGCAGCCCCCGGGGATTGCAAGCGAGCTCATCGCCTACCAGGTAAGCCCCCCTGTCGAAGGTGTCCGTAGCAGCTGTCAGGCAGAGAGCAGGAGTGGGAGATGGGCATGGGGGATGCGGCCATGCTGCAAATATTGCAAGCGAGCTGAACCCGTACCAGGTAAGTCCTTCTATGACCTATCAGATGAGTGAGTAGGGCTCATCTGACAGCACCTGCCAGGCAGGCAGAGAGCAGGAGTGGGATAGATAGGGGAATGGGGGATACGGCTACGCAGCTCAGATTGCAAGCGGGCTGTTCACAGTTTGCTCATACCAAACCTCTTCACCCTCCCTTGTGGTTGTCGTACGCCTGCCTGCCCTCAGATTGACCCTGTGATGAAGCTTCTTTTGAGGCGCATGGGTGCCTAAATGACTATGATTATGTTTCTGCCTTTCCATCAGATTGACCCTGTGATGAAGCGTCTGTTCTCAGCCTGGGTGTCAGCGCAGCAGCAGAAGCTCCACGTGTGGATGGAGAGAGGAGTTGAGGCAGAGGTGAGAGAGGAGGAAGGGAGGAAAGATGAGGGGTGGAGCAGGGTAAATGCAAGGAGCAGGTGGGGTGGTGTTGCCAGCCTATTGCCTAAACGTGCCTAAGCGACTAATAAGTGTGGATGGAGAGGGGTGTGGAGCCGAGGTGAGAGAGGGATCCGGTTTCTTTTTAGGGACGATTGTCTGCATTCCGGTTCTCCGTCTTTCCAGCTACTTCTCAACCCCTTGCCCCACTCTTCACCCGCTCGACTCATTCGCTCTTCTCACCCGCTCGCCTCGCCTCTCGCGCTGCTTCTGCTGCAGACGTTCGAGCCGGCTTCAGATACACTCAAGCACGGGGCTTTTGCAGTGGATGCTGTGCGGCTGGTAGAAGAGGTGAGGCTTGGGTGGTTGTGGGAGAGGTGTGCATTGGGTGGTGAGAGAGGTGGTGTGGTGTTGCCTGCCTATTGCCTACCTCTACAGGCGACAGCTGCGCTTTTATTAGGCCTTTCTATCCATACCTCAAGCACGGGGCGTCTGTGGTGGATGTAGTGTGGCTGGTGGAAGGGGTGAGGCTTGAGTGGTGGTGATGAGGGTTCGACTGGTGAAGGCCGCAATTGTGACTCGGTAGCTTTCCCCCCCTCAAGCACTGAGCTTCTGCAGCGCATGCTGCAGCAGACGGTTTACAGCACCAATATCCTCTTCTGCTCCTCCTTGTTGCTCCTCGTGACTTTTGAGTGACTCATAAGTCACCTCGTTACAATGGCAGATGGTCCATAGCACCAACATCCTCTTCTTCTCCTCCCTGTTGCTCCTGGTGACTTTTGAGTGACTCAGAAGTCACCTCCTCACAATGGCAGATCACAGGCGCATCATACACAGGCGCATCCCCTCCCTCCGCTCTCCACCATACCATAGGCGCATGAGCATTTGCTGTAGCATGAGCGGTTCTTCCGCCTGAGTTTCCCCCCCCGCTTGCCCATGCTATGCTCCACAGCACCCACACCCTCATGACATGGGCGCCTATGTTGCCAAAACATCTCTGTGACAAGTCCTAGAGGCCTGGGCCTCCCTTTCCACCTGCCCATGCTGCAACAATAGTCCACAGCACCAATACCCTCATGAGCACCCGCGTTGCTTGCCACTCATCCCTAGGACTCCTCTCCTCCGATCCCCTATTCCAGGTGCCAGAGCAACCGAGAGAGTTGTTGCTGCAAACATGAATCGAATTGAGGCAACATAATACGTTAGTTTCAGGATAAAAATGAATCGACATTTCATCAACTCACCAACCCAGCAATCCCCTTTTACCTCTCTAGGAAGTCGTGCCGGGTATGGGACGAGACTCTTCTGGCCACTAGTCTTGCAAGCAGTCGGCTTGAGCACACAAATCCAGCTTGCGAGCGATTAAGATCAAGAATTGTGAGGATAGACCATTCCACTTCATCTCAAGTGACGCGTCATAACATTTCTCGAATCAAACGCCAACTTACATGGCCAACTTGTCGTCAGTTTTTGACTCGTTAATTTCGACGATAAGTTGGCCATGCGAGTTGGCGTTTGATTCGAGAGATGTTCTGACGCGTCACTTGAGATGAAGTGGAATTCTCTCATCGCAATGCTTGATCTTAGTCGCTCGCAAGCCGGATTTGTGTGTTCAGGCCAGCTGCTCGCAAGACTAGTGGCCAGAAGAGTCTCGTCCCATATCCGGCACGATTTCCTAGAGAGGTAAGAGGGGATCGCTGGGTTGGTGACTTGATGAAATGTCGATTCATTTTTACCCCGAAACTGACGTTCTGTGTTGCCTCAATTCGATTCATGTTTGCAGCAACAACTTTCATGATCCGCCAATTCTTCCGCCTGGGCCTAGGTTGCCAAGATCGCTGCGCTCAGCCCCAAATACCACCTCAAGCTACCTCCCTGTCTCCCTATCCCCCTTGCACCCCCTACTGCAGGTCCTAGAGCAGTTCTTTCGTCTTGGCCTGCCCCCCCGCCTGCCCATGCTGCAACAAATAGTCCACAGCACCGACACCCTCATGAGCGCCTATGTTGCCAAGATTGCCGCTCTCGGCCCCAGGGACGACCTCAAGCTGCCTCCACCGCCCCTCACGCGCTTCAAAGAAGACTTGGCTCAGAGGCTGGCTGATAAGGCGGAGAAAAGGGCGGAGAGGGAGGAGAGGGTGCAGAAGGGGAAAGCGGGGTACTTGGAGGGGTTGTGGCATGCGCGGAAGGGTGTGGGGGGGACGGGAGGGGGAGTGGGAGGGAGGGGGGCGGTGAGGGCGGTGGATGCGGCGAAGGCTGCTGCGATTGATGCTCTGACTGTGAAGAAGCTGTGTGTGCGGATTAACACTCTGGAGGTGAGAATCAGTTGGGTGTTTCACAGGTGTGTGTGCTGTGCAGGTTGATAGTGCACCTTCTGCACCCTCTCTTCTGCACCCTCTCTTCTGCACCCTCTCTTCTGCACCCTCTCTTCTGCACCCGCTCTTCTGCACCCTCTTCTCACCTGCGTCTCGTATTCAAGCAGCCATGGAAATAACTCTCTTCTCGCCTCCTCTCCTTCCTGTTCCTCTCACACCAGTTTGTGACAGCCGAGCTGGACAAATCCGAGAAGGCTCTCTGTGAGCGCTGGGATGAGTACGCTCCTCACCTCAAGATCGATGACATGGCAGGTGAGCATGCTGACCTGGCACCTGTGTTTGCTACATGGCATGTGAGAATGCTGACGTGGCAGGTGAGCATCGACCGAACCAAATATTCGTTCCTCCGTTCCCTGGTCCTTATCCTCATCCATTTCTTCACCTCACTCTTTCGTTCTCCCCTGTTCTCCCATGTTCCACTGTTTGTCCCCTGTTCTCCCATGTTCCACTGTTTGTCCCCTTTTCTCCCATGTTCCACTGTTTGTCCCCTTTTCTCCCATGTTCTACCATGTTGCAGCCATGGCCCCGTCTCAGCTCGCCTCCTCCCTCGCCTTCCGTCTCTCCACAGAGGGCGTGGCTGGGCTCAAGAGAGGAAGCTTCTATGAGCAGACCACCACGCTCGCAGCACAGCGCATGCAGACCCTCTCAGACTACCTCGGTCAGTGCGTGTGTGTGGACGGGGAGGGGATAGAGGGAGGAGTGGGTTGGTGTGACTTTGGGAGGAGAGGGGGGAAATAGTGTGGGTGTGCAAGTAAGCTTCTATGAGCAGACCACCACGCTTGCAGCACAGCGCATGCAGATCCTCTTGGCCTACCTTGGCGAGTGCCTATTTGATCTCGCTCACTCGTATCACCCCTGTCATTTTGGATTTGCGTAATATTCATGTAGCATCCGACCTTGGTGGTTGTCATTACAAATCTGTTGATTCTGAATTGGATATGATTGTTTGTTTGATATGTTTCCATTTTCCCCTCGCCTCTCTCCACCCAGGCACCAAGGTGGTGCGATGGAACCTGAGGGAGGTGTATCTAGAGGAGCCCGATGGAGCAGCCGTTAGGTATACACCCCTCCTGTTTAAACACAACAAGGTGCCCCTCCTATTTATGCTGTTCCTTGCAGGCACCAAGGTGGTGTGGTGGGACCTGAGGGAGGCGTTTCTGGAGGAGCTGTATCGTGTGAGCGTGGAATCCTGTCGCATGAGCAACCTCATGCTCAAGCTCGACCCGGTCAGTTTTTTCCTTTGTTTTTTTCCACCGTTTCCCAATTTTCGCCATGTTGTGTCGCATGCGGGAGCATGCTTATTTAATTCACCACTATGTGTGTGTGAACTGGTCCGTGTATCCACTTGCAGGGTTGGGGGAGATTGTGGAGACCGTCTCGGACTCTCTGAGGGATCGTGTCGTCACCTCTCTCCTGCACTCTGTTCTGGTAATTTGGGTTGTGTTTGTGGTTTTTTTCTTTCTTTTTGTGGGGGAGGGGAAATGGGGGGAGGAGGAGGGGGGAAGGGACTAAGAATATTTTTTCTTACACTTATGATCATTCTTCAGCGATTTATTTTTCATCTTGTCCTAACGTCCCTCTGACCAGCACATGCGAATTCTGAATGTTGTTCACTCTTATCTCTGAAACCACTCTTAAAACCCTTCCACTTCATCAGGAGGGCCTGCTGCGCGTGCTTCTGGACGGCGGGCCTCTGAGGGTGTTTGCTCAGTCAGACTACGATGCCCTGGAAGATGACCTCCGCATTCTCAAGGTGAGCAGCTGATGTAGCTAGCATGACATGAGATTGCATGTCATGGAATGGTTTGATATGGCATGGTGTGACATGACTTAACCCGTCAGACTATGATGCCCTGGAAGATGACCTCCCCATTCTCAAGGTGAGAGGGGTGATATCACATGAGAGAACACATGAGTCAGCTCACATGAGGGGTGATATCACATGAGAGAGGACCTTCCACTTCCCCCTTCCCGTTTCCCTCTTACCGTCCCCTTTCTCCTTCCCCCTCCCTCCTCCCCCATTCCCTCTCCCCATTTCCCCTCCCCCAGGAGTTCTTTGTGGCGAATGGCAACGGCTTGCCACAGGAGGTTGTGAACAAGGCAGCAGCTCAGGTGCAGCAAGTGCTCAACTACTACTCCCTCGATGTGAGTGTTTTGTACAGTACTTGTAACTTTGCAAACTTTCTATACCTCATTGGTAAGGTCTTTTTTTATATGACCCCTCCACTCCACAACCACCTGTTCCAGTAACCTTAGCCTCAACTATGGTTTTTGTTGACATGTGCGCATGTCATCATTAACCTCGACGTGTTCTTTCAACTGTCATCTCCCCCTTGACAGACTGCTGACGTCATTATGTTTACAAGCAAGCAGCAGGAGCCAGTCAAGCAGCAGGCGGTGCGTTTCGGGCCTCGTCATTTGTGAAGGGAGGTGGCGCAGGGCTCACTGGGCACGATGCACATGTGCTTCTGCGCGTGCTTTGCCATAGGGCGGATCGGGAAGCTTCCAAGTTCCTCAAGAAGCACATGCACCTGCCTAAGTCATAGTAATTAGAAAACAAACGAGGATAAAAACAGAATATAGGTGTACTGGGCATAACGTAGATGCCCATTAATTTTAGCACAGGCTAGTGTTTTGAGTGTTTATGTAAGGAATTTTCTCGGCATTCCTTGTTCGCCCGTTACTGCTAACGGAACTTCGCCGACTTCGCGCGCACTGTTTTACCAAACCTCGCACTGCTGGCATGGCCGTATCGGCCTACGCTTCGGGACTAGCCCGAGCCTCGCTCCAGCGTAGCACTAGCAAGCTCGCACGCACCGCGTTACCGTTTTGCATGTTTCGCGTATAAATGTTCGCTCATGCCTTCGCTCACATTTTGTACTCGTTTGACACCTTAGTGCAATTCTCGCTACCTCGATTCATTGCACCCGTAACACTTGGTATCAGAGCCCCTTTCTTTCGGACCGCGCATCTCCACACACCAGGAAATCAACTTTTGATTTTTCACTCGAAGGGACTCACGCACCTTAGCCCCTAGGAGCCGCTGTCCTCGCGTTCTCTCGTAAACGCGTGCAGCCACGACTGCGCCTAGACTAAGACGAGCCGACGCCCTTCGTCATGGCCGAAAACATCGACGTCACCACTCTCACGCAGGAGCGTTTGAACGATCTGCTGCGACAACTGCACGAAAGCTCCGAGGAAATCGCGGCATTGACGGCAGAACGCTCATCACTGCAAAATGACCTCCTGAGAGCACAATCTCAAGCACCTGGCACTCCGATCCAACCCGCACCCTCAACATCACAACACGGGAGTGTGGGGCAACCCGCGAGCGCGGCCAGTGATGGCGTCGTCCGCCCCGACGGAGACGACGACCACGGCACGACACACCCCAGAGCGACGCCTGCGGCCCCAAGTCAGCCTCGCGTCACGATTTCGGCACCAACCCACGATTCGGGACTGCCGTCACCGATGCCGCTGAAGCCGCAGCGCCCGCCATGCTTTGACCCGAGTCAACGGGGTGGTCCTACCGTTCAGGCGTGGTTATTCACAATGAATGTTTTCTTCGACGCCAACTACGTCTCGGAGGACTCGGCGAAGATTCGATACGCCGTGTCGTTGCTGCGAGGACCCGCCATGGACTGGTGGCGCGTCATCGTCACGAAGCCGACCGACTACGCGACACTACCGACACGGGAAGGACAAACCGGACCCTGGGCGCCGTCGTATTTCGTGGAGGTGCCCCAGTATCGCACGTGGGACGCGTGGTGCGCAGGTCTGCGCGCGCTCGATTTGAGCCAATCGCGGCCTCGATCTCGGCGCGACAGAAGCTCCGCACTTGGCGCCAACTCGGTTCCATCCAGGATTACACGAGCGGATTTCTGGCGCTATGCGAGCAGGTGGGCTACATGCATGAGAGCGAACGCATCGACCGCTACATCGGCGGCCTGAAGCAGGACATCGCTCAGGAAATCTAGCTTCGCGGCGTCACTGAGTTTCAGGAAATTCTCGCTATGGCGGAGAAGCTCGACTTCTTTCGCCGACCGAGACCGGGGTCCTACGGAAACAACACCTGGGGACATCGGCCTCGTGGGACGAACGAAAGCGCCACGATACGCGCCGTCGCCGCAAATGCCGCTGCCGCACCGTTCAAAGGGCGCTGCTTTGCGTGCAATCGGCCGGGACATCGCAAGAACGAATGCCCGGAAAACGCTAAGGGAAAGGGGGAAGCTGAGCAGCAGACACAGACCAAGCAGCAGGGAAACGCTGGAAGTTCAGTAGCAGACGGGCCCTCTACTGACAGGTCACGCCGCTCGCCCGACCCAACCGACCCTCACCGAGTGATTGTGCCGGTTCACGCAATCGACCACACCCGGCCGAATAAGGAGGGTACCACGGTAGATAGCCCTATACTGCTCAGTGGGAAAATTGGGACGGACTTAGTTAAAATCTTCGTAGACGGGGGAGCCAGCCACAGCCTCATTAACACAGCTACAGCACGCAAACTGCGACTGCCACTGGACCGATGCTTACCTGAGATCGACGCACGACTGGTAGACGGCACGCCGCTGGCAATACGGGAACGCGTAGACCGAGTTCGGATTCGATGCGGGGGTAACTTCACGTTTAGTCAGGAAATGCTCGCAACGACCCTCGACGGAACCGACATTTTACTCGGGCGTGATTGGCTGCGACGACACAATCCGCGAATTGACTGGACGACGGGTGACTGCACCGTGCGAGTAAACGGTAACAACATCGCCTTACCTCGCTGGGGCTCGCCTGAGTCTTCGTCGGTGCGTGTCAACGCGATCACGATGAAACGCGCTGTTGCGGCCGGAGCTGACGTGTACGCGGTTGACATTCGGGAAGCCGAGGCAGCAGACAAGGGGGGCGATTTACAGAAACTGCTGACCGACGTACCGAGTGACCTGGCGGCACTGTTAAAAGAGTACAGTGACATTTTCCCGGATGACTTACCGACGGGACTGCCACCTCAGCGACCGCACGATCACAGGATAGAACTGGAACCGGGGGCACAGCCAACAGTACAGCGACAGTTCCGACTGACCCAGCCCGAACTAGACGAACTAAGGAAGCAGCTCGATTACCTGCTCGAAAAGGAATTCATTCGCCCTAGTTCGTCGCCCTTCGCCGCACCAATACTGTTCACACCGAAAAAGGACGGGGGTTTTCGCATGTGCATCGACTACAGGGCACTGAACACGGTTACTATCAAATCCCGTTACCCCATCCCACGAGCCGACGAACTTATCGACCAACTGCGCACAGCCCGGGTTTTCTCGAAAATCGACCTCCGGGGAGGCTAACACCAAATCCGCGTCAACCCACCCGACTGCCCTAAAACCGCATTCCGAACACGCTACGGATCCTTCGAATACACCGTCATGCCATTCGGACTGACCAACGCCCCCGCCACTTTCCAAATGACCATGAACGAAGCATTCCGCCCGCTTTTATATAAGTGCGTCATCGTTTATCTGGACGACATACTGATTTACAGCCCTGACAGAGCACAGCACTTACAAGACATCGAAGCAGTTTTTAAAATCCTGAGTGAGAACCGCCTACTGACCAAAGCATCTAAGTGTGAGTTTTTACAGGACCGCCTGGAGTTTTTGGGACATGTTATTTCAGCTGCAGGAGTGGAAATAGACCCGAAGAAAATTGCGACGATTCAGGCTTGGCACGCGCCGACCAACTTGACCGAGTTGCAGAGTTTCCTGGGGTTCGTCAACTACGTGCGCCGGTTCGTCCCCGACATGGCGAAGCTGACTGCCCCGTTGACTGACCTGCTGAGGAAGGGGGTTGAGTACACGTGGGGGGAGAAAGAGCAAGCTGCCTTCTCGGCCCTCAAAAATATTTTGTGCTCCCCGCCGTCCTTCACATTGCAGATCCCCACCGTCCGTTTGAGCTCGTCACCGACGCAAGTGACATCGCTGTGGGAGCAGTACTGTTGCAGGATTTCGGGAACGGCCTCCAGCCAATCGCATACGAGTCCCGCAAGTTACACCCGCCCGAACGTAACTACCCGATACACGACCGCGAGATGCTAGCGATCGTGCACGCGTTCAAAGTTTGGCGATGTTACCTGACTGGCGCCGACGTGACAATACGGACAGACCACCGCTCGCTACAGTATCTTCGCGCCCAACCGAATCTCAACCCACGACAGATTCGCTGGTTGGACTATCTCGAGTCCAATTTTCACTACACCGTTACGTACAAAAAGGGTGCCAACATCGCCGACGCTCTCACCCGCCCCACCGCCCAACTCCATGCCATCCTACTCGCCCAGACCAACCCGCTTTTAACTGGCCTATTCACCCATGGATACCGCACCGACCCATTTTTCACGACCGGAAATTCACAGCAACTGGCAGAAGCAAAAGGAGTCTATTACGTAAAAGCAGGCACCAACCGCATTTGGGTACCCGCGTACTCACTACTGAGGGAGCTGCTACTACAGGAGGCACACGACGGGATTACCTCGGGACATTTCGGGGTAGAAAAAACGCGACAGCAACTGCAGCGGTACTATTACTGGCCGGAGCTGTTGACCGACGTACAGCAGCACGTGGGCTCGTGCCCGACCTGTCAGGTGATGAAGAGTTCAAGGAAGCGGAAGGCGGGCCAATTGCAGCCGATCCCACCGCCCGAACGCGCCTGGCAGCAAGTAACCATGGACTTCGTCACAGGGTTACCATCGAACCCTGGGGGTAACGACGCGGTGATGGTCGTCGTGGATAGGCTGACGAAGATGGCACACTTCGCTGCGTGCAAAAAGTCGATCTCAGCCGAGGAGACCGCTCGCCTGTTCATCGCAGCCGTTGTTCGCCTGCACAGGATACCAGCAGCAATTATCAGCGACAGGGACACGAAATTTACCAGCAACTTCTGGAAGAACCTCTGGGAGCAGTTCGGGACCAGGCTACAGTTCAGTTCGTCGTACCACCCCGAGACCGACGGCCAAACGGAGCGGACGAATCAGACGATGGAGCAGTTGATTCGTGCCACGTGCGACGACCCCACGACCTGGGAGCAGCAGCTGCCGCTGATCGAGTTCGCGTACAACAACGCCACATCAGCCACGACGCAGCAGTCCCCGTTCTACCTGAACTATGGGCAGAACCCCACAGTGCCCATGACTCCGAGTCCGGACAACCCAACGCCACGCGCACAACAATTCGCCGAAATCCTGCAAGCTGCCCGCGCCAGAGCCGCCGAAGCAATAAAAAAGGCCAACGTCATCGCTAAGCGCAACGCTGATCGCCACCGCCGCCCCGTCACGTATCAATCTGGAGATTACGTGCTACTCGACACGCAAAATCTGCGACTGCCCGACGTGCCAAAATTACGACCACGCTACTGTGGACCATTCCAAATCAGTCACATGATCACACCCGTCACCGCACACCTACTGTTGCCAACCGACTGGTACATCAGCCCTTCGTTCCACGTCAGCCTACTTCGCCCATACATCCCGACCACAAGTCAACTGCCGCGTCACCGGCCACAATCAATG